TAAACTATTACTTGATTCAGTTATTAAAAAAACCTTTTAAGTATGGTTGGAAAAATGCAGGTATTTGAATCTGCTTTTTCAGCTGTAAATTTTATGAAGTCTAAATACAGATAAGTATTTCCAATGAAAATTGAGTGTTCTAATTGAAATATACCGTAAGTGTAAAATATATATTGGATTTCAAAGACTTCGAATGAAAGAAATTTGCAATATCTCAGGAATAATTTTATATTGATCACATGTTGGAAAGACAATATTTGGATGTATTAGGTTAAATAAAATATACCATTAAAATTAATTCCATCTGTTTCTTTTCCTTTTACTAGGATGTTTAAAGTTATATATGGGGCTTGCCTTTGTGGCTCGTGTTGCATTTCCATGGACAGCAGTGATCTAGAGTTTAGCATTGGCTTCGGGTACACATGAACGCACTGCAGATAGGTGCGGGTTTAGTTATATTACTGGGTTCAAATTCTGTATGAATTGAGGGGGGTGTGTTTAGACCAATACAAACATGTAAAGATGAACGCAAGCCTTATGTTCTGGATGGGGGGGCAACCTTTGGAACACAGGTGAGAGAGGTGAGTCAGGCACAGCATGGAGGGAGTTTGGGGACCACTAGAAGATGCTGTTGCTATCATTCTGAGGGCCCCCTGGAGAAAGCATCCTGCCTCCAAAGCCCTCTTCCTGTGCACTGAGGTCTAAAGGAGCTGGTCACCCAGGTTGATCTCTGCCTGTCATTCCCACAGCAGAGCATGCCAGCCCCACATCTCTCTGTGCCCAAGGAGAGAAGGAAGAGGCTAGAGGGCGCCCCCTACTGGAAAATTTGACGTCGGAGTGTGGCATTCATTACAAAGGGGAAGGGCAGGAATGCTGGATCCGCAGGAGGATGGATAGAACATTCCTAAAGGAATGACAGTGGCCAAAGCCCTGGGCAGTTTCGGAGACACTGTAATATCTACACCAGCAAACAGGATGGAGCCTCAGGGCCCGTTTATCCACTAGGCACTACAGGTCTGATGTTTAGGAGTCAAGATACATTTAGAGGCCTATGAAAATGTTTTCATTTCTTTTAAAATCAAAAGAAACAATGAATACAATCCAGCTTGGCTTCTATTTATCTTTATACCAGCCTACCTGTACAATAGAATTTTTAACATTTGTTAGAGAGGAAGAGGCCCATGCAAAAGTGTCCAGAAGTCATCAGGTGGGCCTGATCGAACCTACTCTGTGCAGGTAATGCTTTACAAAGTAACTAATTGAATCCTGCCCCCTGTGACAGGGGTATTGCTATTACCTGCATTTTGCAGATGAAGAAATCGAGGCCCCTGGCTAGGGTGGCACCACTAGGCTGCAGAGAAGCTGGGACTTGAACCCAGGTACTGTGGCTTCAAGTTCAACGGACAGTTTCTATCACACTGTGTCTTCCGTAGCTGGTCTGCGATCAGCTGCTCTCCATCTTTCCCCAGGCTGTGGCCCTGCTTCTGGGCCTCCTCCACTCTCCCCTTCACGGATGGATTTGGGAGCATGGCTTTGTGTCTCTGAGAGGCCCGCCGGGGGGCTGCTGCAGCCCTGCTTTGCAGGTCCAACAGGCCCTGGCCCTGGCTCCCAGGAAGCACTGTGGGCTGGGCTGAGCTGCTGGTTCCTTACCTTTTGCTGCCATATTTCTGAGGGCCTCGGGGCAGTGCTGGGGTCATAAGAGTCCCCCAAATCCCTACCCTCTGGATGGTTCAGAGACCTATCCAGCTCTGAGAGGTCACCACACCTGGAAGAAGGGACTGTAATAAAGCCACTGAACACAGCACAAATAGATGCGAAACATGAACTACAGGATATCCTGGCCACCGGGAATCTTGGGGGCCGGTGGAGGAGTAGGGCAATTCTGAAGGGAAAATCCGAAGAAGCACCCACTCCGTAAACATACACACAGCCCGGCTGTCCACACACACACACACACACATCTATGCACCTACACACATACACACGCATCCCATGGGCACCAGACAAAGTTAGAACGAGGTGAAGCGGTCCTTCCCGAGTCCACCACTTACTGGCTGCGTGATCACAAGCCATTTCACCTTTGTGAGCTTCCGGTTCCTGGTTGGCTAATGCCAGTCCTTACCCGGCTGGTTTGTTTTGAGGATTACATGAGATAATGTATTTCCAAGTGCTAGGTAAATGCTAAAATGCTACACAAATGGTTCTTCTTATTAACACAATTATAGTCTGCACTGAACAATTTAGTACTTTTAAGCTATCTTGTATTTTTTACTAATTGCTTTGCAATTAGTCTTATCTTGCTGCAACACTGCCTCTACCTGGAGGACCTGGCACTGCTCTGGGTGCAGGGTTGGAGTGGCCCTCGCCCCGCCAACGTACCTGGCAGAAGGCTCTGCGAGCCTCCCTTGGGGGCTTGAGGGCACGGATTGGTCAGCAGTGGCTCTGCTAACTTGTTAACAAGCTTTGCTTAATTTGCAGTGATGATGGTGATGGAATGATGCCCTTTCTTGAGCACCAATGACCGGCTGAGCCCTTTGCGAAGCACTTTCTCCAGACATTGACTTCTTTAATGTTCACGAGGGCTGTATGAGAAAGTACTATTGGGATCTCCATTTTAAAGAGGAGGAAATGAAGCTCAGAGAGGTTAAGTCACTTGCTGAAAGCTACCCCTGCCAGTGAGTGGTGGAAGAGAGATGTGAGGCTGGGTGTAGGGTCTGTGAGTTTAAACATCGTGCTAGCCTGGGAGAGGAACTTTGGGCCAGAGGGTCTCTGGGTTCTCTTGAAATCAGGGCCTGCAGTCATCTGAAGATTAGATGGGGAGATGGCCTAATTAGAGAGGAGGGCCAGGTGCTCTGGGGAGGGAGCCGGGAGCCAGAACCTTCGCTGGAGGCTTGCCTCTGGCTCGGGTTCCCACTTGGAGCTGGGTTCCTCCCTGGGGAAGGCTAGGAGCAAGTGTCTGCTGCGTGGGGTGGGAGCTGTCCCAGGAGGAGAGTGGATGACAGAAGTTCTGAGGGGTTTTTCAAATGCTGGCAAAGAGGCCCTGTCTGGGGGGCCCCACTGGGAAGACCCAGACGGATGGAGGTGGGGAGACTTTGTTGAGTTTTCTGTGTCCCCAAATGAACAAAAGGTGAGCAACACAAGGAGCGCTGGGCCATTAACTTCCTGAAAGAGGAGAGAGATGACTTCTCTGTGTCCTGGTCAAGACAGCTCCTCCCCAGATCCACCCTTCAACATACCAGGGGCTGGGCCCTGTGTTGGGTTCCAAAGGAGAGAGAAAGAGTAAGAAAAGATGGGGCTGGGGTTGACCTATACAGAAGGATAAAAGTTTGTGGCCACCCCCAGGCCCCAAGGCTGTGAGTGACCGGTTCTTGAATGCAGGAGCCCGGCAACCCTGCTGTGGCCCACTCTTCCCGGTCCTGCTCCAGCGCTGACCACAGTGTTGGTTTAGGGACCTGCTCCGTGGAGACGTAAACATTTCTGCAAGACTGCTGTCCAATACCCCATCAACCAAGACCTAGCTCCCAAACCTAGCCCTCCTGAGTATGGCCTCAGTGAGTGGCTGATGAGAACAGAACTGGTCGGAGGGCTGCAGGGCCCAGAAGAGGAAAGACAACAGCAGGAGAGGGAGGGGTGGGGCAGAAGGCTGGGCTGGCTGTCCAGAGGTCTGCTAGGTGCGGAGGCGGTCCTCCTAGATCCAGAACTGTTTCCTTCTCCTCCTCAATGGTTTGTTCATCACAAAGATCTTTTATAAGAAGGTGGAGGGACCTCCTCCCCTCTGAAAAAATGCTCAGGAGCTAAGTAACCAAGGCAAATGTCCCGTAACAGGTACAAAACTAAGAACCCAGGCAAGGCTCTGGGTCCTTCAGGCCAGGGTGAAACCACTAGAGCCTTCCCCTGGTGTGGCCGCTAGGGGGACCCATGGAGTGTCCGCTCTCCTGCCTCCCCTTCAACTCCTCCCCTTCAACTCCTGGCGTCGCCTGGATCACTGTCTCCCTTCCACCATCCCTTATCCAAGCCTCATCCCCAAGCAGAGACAGGGTTTGCTTGTAGAATGGACTCAGTTTAGGTCTTGAGGGATCAGAAGGGTCGGGGCCCAGCTCTGTGCCATCTCCTGCAAATAAAGGTCACTTTTGCCCCCCTTTTCCTCCAACCTCTGGGCAAAAAATCCCTCCAAATTCTCCAAGCCCAGGATGAGCCAGCCAGGGATTCACATGGCCAGCAGAGGGCAGCAGAACACACCCCAAGGCCCTCTCCCTCCAAAGGTGACTGACCCCAGCCCCATCCCCACCCGTTGGGGGCATGCAGGTCTGACTTTGTTCTCTAGGAATCAGAAATCCTGAAGGTCAGGGTGGGGGGTGGGGGCAGAGTTTTCTTAGTTCATTCTCAGATTTAATATTGGGACCTCCCTCCTTTAAAAAAAATATATATATCACAGAGGATTCCAATGTGGTGTTAAGTAGTTTTTGTTTTGTAATAATGCTACTCAAACATGTACAAACATAAAGCTACCTGTGAACTCCTTATACTGATAACTCCCATACAAAGATAAACAGAAATAAAAATTCAAATTAAATGAGAACAAATCTACAAACGAAATCAAAGTTCAAAGTAATCTCCTGAATGTGTGTGATACATCACATGCCGCACTCAAGCCTCCGGGG